CGCCGCCGGTCTATGGCCCTCCGCCGTATGGACGGGACGGCTTCTTCCCTGGCTCGCCCGGGCGCGGCGGCGGCCCCGGGCGCGGCGGCGGGTTCAGGGGCGGACGAAGGGGCTGGGGCGGGCGTGGCGGCGGCGGCGGTCGCGGCTGGGGCGGGCGCGGCGGCGGCGCGGATGAGTTTTACGACTGACAGGCGAGAGAGAAAGAGAGTCAGGCAGATCTGAAGAGAGCGGTGCGCGTTCCGCAGCGCCGGCCGGGCCGTTGTTTGCATGCCGCCTAGCGCAGCGTCGTCCGGCCCGTCTTCTACGCGGCCCCATGGGCGCCGCAGCTGCCTCCTGCGGCCGCCGCTTTTTGCAGTGCAGCACGTTTGTTTTCGCGAGTCCAGGCCCCTGCCTTGCGTTTTCCAGTCGTTGCCGCCGCGGCCCTCACTTGCAACCCAAACCCCACAGCGCAGCCTCTGCCGGCGCCCCTGCCGCTGTGCGACTCATGGTAGCGCTAGTGTTGCAGTGCACAACGCGGCCTTGCACAAGCCAGCAGCAAACGCAGCACCTCCCCCAAGGTTGCGATTGTAACTCCTTTACAAGGGGATCATTTGCCCCATACAAAAAGGCTATGCAAATGCATACAAGAGAGTTTGGTTGGACTCGCAGCGGCCAGCTCGCAGGCGACCCAGGGAGGGGTGGCTGCACACCAAGGGGTTGGCGGCGGGTCACTTGGCACACGCGCGCCCTGGGCGCCCTTCATGAGACGGGCGCCAGCTTGCGGGTTGCGAGCACAGCTCAGGCGCAGCTGGCCCGCCCGCGCCGGCAGGCACGCCTTTGACACAGCAGCAGCCCGGAAGCACATTCGCGTCCTACACTTGAAGGGGGATGCCTGGGAGGAAGCCTGGCCCGTCGCGCTGCCGGGGAGTTGCACGGGTCACCCATGTCGCCGGTGCCCGGTTACATCATCTGGTGACCTTGTAGCCGCGCACCTGCACGAGTGCGTAGCAAAGAAATCCGGTACGGTCCGAGTGCATGTGACATCAGCTGACGTCATCGGCAGCCGAAACCAACCCAAGGGCAGGTGGTGCCTTGCCGATGGGTGGCCCTGACAGGCCACGACGCGCGCGCGTGCACGTTGCGATCAATTGCAACAGACGCGGGCGTCGCGCCCGTAGACGCGGCCTGCCGCCCCTGCACGCCCCCCGCCAGCGGCGCGCGAGCACACCGCGCCCCTTCGAATCAAAATGCCCCCACCTGCTTGAGCAGCGCCGCGGCCTCTGGGCTGTTGACAAAGTGGTCGCGCACCGGCTGCAGAATTTTGTTGAGGTGCCGCGACAGCGACGGCTTGAGGTCCGCTGTTGGAGGGTTTTTGGGTTTAGAGGCGGGGGTGTCGAGTCGGGTGGGGGAGGAGTGAGGGCTGATGTGTGCGGCCAAGGGCCTGTGCGGCGGCGCTGGGCTGGAGCTGGGTGTCGGGGTAGAGCTGGGCGCCTGGCAAGAGCCACATCACTGCACCACAACGCCGCTGCCATTGCAACCAGCTCACCGCAGCTACCGCCACCACCCCTTCGACCTTTTGTTTCTGTCGTGCTCGCGCGTGGGGCGGCAATGTCGCTGAGGGGCCGGGCGGAAGCCGCGAGTCCCGCACGCACCTGGGTGCACGGCGCCGGATGCGTACGCCTCCCGCAGCTCCTCTGGGGTGGTGAAGGTGATGTCACCGCCGTTGGCCTCGCTGCGGGACACCTGGGGGATTGGTACGGGTGCAAGGTTGCGCTTGTGCGTGTGTGTGTGTGTGTTTGTGTGTGTGTGTGTGTGTGTGTGTGTGTGTGTTTCGCGTGCGCGCGCACGCGCAATCATGTGCGCAGGTGGGTGGGCCGGACTGCACAGAGGTGATACCCGCCAGGATGCCAGACGGCGGGGCCCTGCACCTAGCTGCACTGGATTTTCAAGCGCAGCAGCGCACGCCCGGGCCAAAGGGCGCTGTGCGCGGCCATGCGCACAGCAAGGCCCAAGGGGGGGAGCGCGAGGCAGCAGGCTTTCGTGCTGCAGATGTGCTGCCCATGTACATGATTGGCCCCAGGGCATGCATGTGCATGGGTCCTGAAACATTCAACTCGTGAGGCCGCGCACCTCGAACTTGCCGAACCAGGGGAACACAATGTAGCAGACGTACTCGATGCAGGGGTTGCCCTCCACCACCTGCGGCCGGAAGTCGAAGAGTCAGCATCACGTTCACTGCAAAATCACGCATCGCGCTTCTTCCCAACCGCCTGACCTCAATCTCAAGCCAGCCAGGGTTTCTTTGTTCAGGTGTGCTCCCCGCCAACGCGAAGCTTTGCACTGCCCAGACGCGCTCGCCGAGCCACGCACCATTATCCCCCAAAATCGAAAGCCCTAGCAGCCAGCGACAGGTGGGTCCCTGGCGCGGCCCCCGGCAGCTGGGTGGGCCCACCCCCACCTGCGGCGGGCAGTAGGCCTTCTTGATCTTCGTGTTGACCTCGGCCTCGGAGTCCTCCATGAAGATCGCGCTGTTGGGGTCGGACTTACTCATCTTCTCCTGGCCCTGTGACGGGTGGGGGTTGCGGTGGGGCAGAGGTCGGAGTTGGGATGGGGGTTGAGGTGCAGTGGTGTGCAATGACAATATGTGCATGTGTTTGTGGTTCTCGCATGTCTGCAAGGGGCAGGACGTGCCTGACAAGCGGCACTTCCACTGACCCTGCGCTTGCTGCACCTGCAGGACACGTCCGTGTGCAGGGCCACGCGACCTCCAAACAAACGCCCCCACCACAACCCGGTCGCACGACAATTAAAAACCAAGGCTCGCGCGCGCACTCGCGCGTTGTCACACACACGCACGCACTCTGTCTCGCAAACTCATCCTCACACACTGTGTTCCCCTTACCCCCCCACACACACACTCCCTCTATCTCTACCTCCCCCCCACACACACACCTCCAGCAGGCCCGGCATCATGCGGTGTGACAGGATGACGGGCTTGAACTTCTTCTTGGTGGCGTCGCAGTACTCACGTGCCAGCATGTTCACCTTCCGCTGGTCCATGCCCAGCTGGCAGATGTCCGCCTGATTAGGTGGCCAGGGGGGGGCAGAGATGTTGTTTGGGGGCATGGGAGAGCTGGAACGCCTGTGTGTGTGGTGTGTGCATGTGTGTATGTGTGTGTGTGTGTATAGTATAACCGTGCCATGTGAGTGCCACGTCCTAGGTGCATGCAGTCTGCCCGCCCGACCCGCCTTATCCCTGCCCTCACCAGGACCAAACCAGCCTATGTCATTCTCCAGCCCCGACACTACACACCACCTGAGCCCACCCCACCCAACACTCCTGACCCATCCTTGCACCCTCCGCCATGACCGTTTCCTCAGCACAAGCACATATTAAGCAGATATCACACCAGAACCTCTCAAACCTAATCCTGAGCCCCGCATCCCACCTTCAAAAAGAAGATGTCGGCGCACTGCATGACGGGGTACATGATCTGGGCCGCGCTGAGGTCGTCGCTCTCGTTGCGCCCCATGATCTGGCTGCAGCGCACCACGCGCTTCAGGCTGTTGCGCCGCGCGATGTCCATCACCAGAGTCCAGTACTCATCAGACCTGTTTGGTGGTAGAGGGTCGGCAGTTGACGGTTGTAGGTGGACGGTCGCCTGTCACCCCGCCCGTGATGATGGGCAGTCGTCGGCGGCAGTCTGGGTTTGGTAAGAAAGCTGCCCCATCATAATTTGGCTGCTTCAGCGGTGGGCGACGAATGCCCCCTGGGATGATCCCAGACTGCAAATTGCCTCACGGCGCCCCGACACGCCTCCCAGCAGCGCGTTCCATCCCCTCATTCCACATTTGCAGCTTACCCAAGCCATCCGCGCCAGCACGCAGAGCGCCATCCCGCAGGCCGGCGACTCTTGGTGGCCCCCCCCCTTCAAGTTCCCGTGCTGTTGCAGCGCTTGAAACCTTACAGAAACCCAGCTTCTGCGGCGCTAAACCCCGAACTGGACCCCAGCCCAGCGCACCGCGAGTTGATCTCCTCAGAGCAGTTGAGGAACTGCACCCGCTCCATGTCCATGCCGACAGCCTTCCAGACCTCCACCATGTAGCGCCCAATCTAGAGCCATGGGGGTGCATAGGTGTGGGAATGTAGGGACGGGTGTGTGGGCTTGTGGGGGT